GCCTGTTCGTCCAGCAACCAGCTCCCATTGGCTGGCTCCTAAAACCCCCCCCCCTCCAGTTTTAAAACAGAAATGGAGCCCTGCAGCCGCGTTTCTGCCTGGCGCTGGGCTGCGGGGGAACCCTCCTGGGGCTCCCCGCTGCCTCTGCAGGCCGGATCCGGCCCACGAGCTGCCTTTCGCCCAGGAACACGGTGCCAAGTCAGCCTCTTCCCAGAGCACGGAAAGCCATTCAGCTCAGACCTGCTCCATCGGCAAGACTAGTCCTCGGGCTCCGCCCTTCCTCAGCCCTCTGCGTAGAGGCAGACTCTTCCCTCGCCTGCCCCGTGGCACTCGGAGCACCGGCCTTGCCAAGCACGGTAGCGCATGACCTCAGTGCTGGGCAGCGGGACACCTGCCCCAACAGCAACGCGCTGAGGCCCAGGCAGCAGCCTGGCACACCCCAGTCTGCCGCCTCACTCCCCTCTTCTGACCCCTCGCCCAGACGCTTGCTCGCACGGGGGCTTTGCAGACACTACGGGACTTGGAGCCACAGTCGATAGCTGCCCCAGAGAAGCCCTGCCAGCCCCACTCTCCTGCTGGGGGGCCCTGGCTCAGGAGTCTCCCGGGCACCAGGTTCCCAGGCCGCTCCAGGCTTTAGAGAATGTGACTCACTCCTGTGTCACTGGTTCCATCTAGGCTGCCGGTCGCCTGCCTCGAGAGCAAAGAAACTTCAGAGCCCCTTTACTGGCCCAACAGAGCAGCCCTGGTGCAGGTGGGTCCCCGCCCGTGCTCAGAGCCAGCAGGCGTGTCTGACAGGACACAGGAGTGGGCACCCCACAGCGTGACCAGGGCCAGATTAAGGGGGGGCTAGCCGGGCAGCGACCTATAGGGGGCGCCTGATGGCAGCTGAAGGGGTGCTGCGCGCCCGGCCGCACGACGCCCCTTAGAGCTGCCATCAGGCGCCGCGCATGTGCCACGCACCCGCTGCCCGGGGCACAGGAATGGCTCGAGCCAGCCCTGAGCGTGACGCCCTGGCCCCCTTCCCAGAGCCCAGTCACACAGGCCAGAGGAGCCTCTCACGCTGCGTAACTCTCCCTCCAAGAGCCTGGGCCGAGATGCCACTGCAGGGCCTGCAGCTGCCCCCTCCCCTCGGCTCCCCTCCTCTCCCCTCCCCTCCGCTCTCTCCGCAGGATCCCGGCTGACACTCACCGTGGGCGATGGTCTTCCTGAGCTCCAGCAGGAGGCTACGTGAGGCTTCCCCCACCAGAGGAGCCTCTCACGCTGCGTAACTCTCCCTCCAAGAGCCTGGGCCGAGATGCCACTGCAGGGCCTGCAGCTGCCCCCTCCCCTCGGCTCCCCTCCTCTCCCCTCCCCTCCGCTCTCTCCGCAGGATCCCGGCTGACACTCACCGTGGGCGATGGTCTTCCTGAGCTCCAGCAGGAGGCTACGTGAGGCTTCCCCCACCGCGCTGTGTCCTCCTCCACGTCCTCCTCAAACTTGATCCAGCGGGCTGTCTCCTTCCAGTGCATGTCCTGGTTCTTCTCCGTCACCAGCTCGTTCAGCTCCACAAACACCTGCCGCCCGGGGCAAAGCCCAATCGGTTTCGCTCAGCAGCAGAGGGGGCTTCCACGGGGGCACGCCCCACTCCACCAGCTGAGCGGAGCACACTGGGCCAATAGCGTCTCCTCTCGCTCGAGCACATGCGAATCGGGGCAGTGGGAGGAGCCCCCGGCACAGGGCGCCCATTCTCCCGGACACGCGCCAGGCGCCCCCGGCACAGGGCGCCCATTCTCCCGGACACGCGCCAGGCGCCCCCGGCACAGGGCGCCAATTCTCCCGGACACGCGCCAGGCGTTCATGCTCCCGGA